ACGGCACCAATGCGCAGGAATGTATTTTTGTACGAGCTGAACTGATAAATTGAGTTATCCCTTTGTGTTAGCCATTGTTCTTCAGAAATTATGTGCAAAGCAGATAGACTATAGAGGACTGAAATTGTGTAAAGAAAGAAAGGAGCATAAGATAATCTTGCAGAATATGTGTAATTTTAAGACACTTAAATTGAAGTGTCAAGTAGAGTTTTGATAAAGGTAATGTATTGAATGTAGCTGAATACAACCACTATGGGTTTGTATGTCATTTTAAGTAGTGGAAAAATACTTTGAAAGAATATCTGCTAGATCTTGATTGTGAGTTTTGGGTGGAGATCAAGAGAATCCAGGTAAAAATCTATCACAGAAATAATTTTAAAAAAAAGAATTAGTGTATCTATGGTTGGTGGGTAGAACATTTCCTGGATTCAGAAGCTGCTACTTTGGTGCCAAAAGGGTTAAACACCAACGTTGTTATATTGTGGTATTAAAGATATGTGATTGTATGCACATGCTCATACAAACAATGCCAGCATAAAAACATGAAGCTAAACGCTACAGTTCTATAAACACATTTCAGAACGAGTGGATGATGCTGAGGAGCCGCTGTCCGTGGTGCTGAAATCCTCTCCACCTGTGATTGTGATGCAAATGCTAATGGAGTGAGAGGCGTAGCGTGATTAGCCGCTTCCCTCCTGGTCCCTTCAGAGACGACAGCCTTTTCTCTGCCTTTCACAGAGCGCCTGTTTTACGCTTGCTTTCACATACGCACTCACGATACAGGCTCAAGGGCTGCAGCTTACAAAGACATATGTAAACCTTTGGTCAAACATTCTTCATTTAAAAGATCAGAACCAAGCTAGATATTGGTTTGGCTGGATATAATTTCAATAGATCTATAAGTAATGTAACACAAGTAGAAGATGTCACGCTTTACTAACGTACAGGATATAAAACATGGTCAATATACTGTATATATGACTATGAAATGGGATTTTCAAACAGGGACATTGCACGATAGATGTATTGTTCAGACTGGACATTGTTTGATAGTTCATTTTCATCCATATGGGCAGAGCCAAAGTGACAGCAGGTTTACAGTGTGAAAAGAATTAATAAATAGATAGGCCTTGATAGAATTTAAATTACAGGTAAAATGTAACAGCCTTAACCACAAAGAGACGCAATATTAACAACATACACAACACACAATTATTTACAATCTTCCTATAATGACTGCACAAACGTATTATCTTTGAGGTGTGTCTTTGGGCTGAATTTAAACTATCCCAGTGAGCTTCACTCCCTCACAGACAGAGGTAGGGAGCTCCAAACCCCTGCTGCGTTTTACAGAGAACAGTTCTGTCCAAATGAGGAGGAGCTAAGTTCACACAACAGTCTCCTAGATGTGGCTCTGGTGTATTTAGATACTAGAATTTCCATGTTGTTTTTATTCATTCATAACAGTTAAGTGGCTGCTTCTTTGTTTGATTTTAAATACATAGAGAGATGCTTTGCAAAAACTGTTTAGCAATAATAGTATATGTAGTTGAATCAAGCTCAGTATGTCCATATTCAGCCCAGAATAATAAATAATAATAATTGTCCTTTATGTGAGATAAGAGCCTGGTGGAGATAATGAAAAATGAGCAGTCATGCAGTGATGAGGCTTTTACAGATACAAAAAAAATGTAATTTGATATTAGACAAAGCAGACAGACAAATGAAAATGTCTATTGTTGGTTGCAAGTGAGTTGTGAAACCCCTGAAGTAGTCTGATATCATCCACATACAGTACCATTGAAACGTACAATTGAATGCTGCTCTTTTCATATAAAACCACATACATTCTTTGTCTATCACCCGAGCCTGAAGAAAAGGAAGGTTGCATTAGACCAGGCTAAATCTACAACACATTATCAAAACACTAAACACAAGAAAATTCCCTTTTTTTTCCCCTGGCATTTTGCAGATTGAAAATAAAACCAGATGTTTATTGTTTGCGGAAGAGAAATCATTATTCAACTCTATAGGAAAACATTAACAAAGGGATTTTAGTGGTCTTTTCCTGCTGCCTTCTGGAAAATCAAGGCTTGTAATTGCCCAAATTGTGCTTTTATGTTGTGTGATTGGTGCTCAGGCTTGAGTGGAGGGAGCTGCTGATGACGGCGATGATTGAGGGGAGGGTCGAACCTTGTGCCAGCTCAGCCAAGTGTGTAATGTGAAATGAGAGCCGCAGAGAGGGTGGGGGTTGGTGTGTCGTGTATGGATTGAATAGCGTTTTGGAAATCTGAAGGTAGAAAGAAGCAGGTGGATGGTCGTCAAAAAATGAGATGGGACTGGTGTGCGTATATGGGACCACAAAAGCAACCAAAAGCATAAACAAAAAGGAGATTAAGAGATGTCATGGGTTATATCTGTGATGTGCAGAGGTGAGAACGCTCCCTGGGGATGTGCCACTCTGACCCCTAATGAACTGGGGATAAGCAGTCGGACACTGGGGAAGTCATGTAGGAATCTATCAGAAGAAACAGTCAGAATGTAAACATGTTCTTATGGTTGAAGGCAAATATTTTTAGCTTAGAATAACACTAAGAACATTTAAACATGAACTAATGCAGTCAAATATATGTATTTTATTATAATTGTTTTGATTTAGAATAGTGTTGTGACAGACAAAAATGAAAAAATATATATAGAATAGGTCCGCATACACCTCCTGTATGGCAACCTTGCTTCCATCACTGTGTGGAGTGAGAGAAAAAAAAAACTATAATTATTTACTTATTTCATAATGTTCTGAACCTGCCTTTTAATCTGGAACAGTCCTCCTAAAAATGTGAGATGTTCAAATCCAGGTTTGTTTAGCTGTGCATTGTGTCTTCACTAATATAATACAATGTGATTATTTATGATTAAAAATGCCTTGTGTGATTTTAATATTTTTTGTTCAGCACTTTTTAGTTACCTTATATGAACAGTACCATACAAATAAGCTTGCCTTAATCCTTGGCACACCAAAAATAACACAATACGCTTTTTTATTTTCTTCATGTATTTACACTAAAAGGCCCTGAATGTATATATTGAAACCTGCAGCCTGAAACCCTGCACTGTGAATCTTGCATGTATTTCGGGTGCACTGGGTTACTGTACCAGGTCACATGTGGGTCTGTGGGTCGCGTTGGGGATGGGGGCGCGCGTGTCAGTGCTGCTCTTTTCATCCCGCGGCTCATGCGCTCAGACAGCGGAGAGAGGAGAGGGCTGCGACGCGCTGATAACACCCGCTGTCATTAAGTCTCCCATTCACACGGAATAATGGCGACAAGCAGCCATGTTCGCGCGCACGAGATGAAAAAGACGACAAAAACAAAAAACAAAAAAACCCGTGCGTAAAGACAGACATAGTGTAGTATAGCGCGCGTGTATGTGTGTGTGTGTATTTTAGCAGGATCTGATGGCGGTGAAGATTAGAGGCCTATGGTGGATTCGGCCTGGAGGCTTAACTCGTAGTATTGTAATAACCCATTTCATGTTTGGGCTATTAATAATCAGCTAATTAAATTCCCTGCCAGTGTTTAGTGAGCACGTTTTGGATTTGTCTGAGCTTTCGTTGTGATGATGGCTTCCCAGTTCACAGACACACACACACAGACACACGTTAACATTAAACAAAACAAAGAAACGTGTGATATTTTTGTCAATGATTTTATTCACTATTCCATAAAGCTCTTATTATATGCACGTATTGACTCGCACTGTGTCAACATATAAAGCCCGACTCCCTCTCCCTGTATTGTAATGGGCAGGACTCATATGCCCTCAAACACACAAACACACACACACGGATCATATGACACTGTTTTGATAACAGACCAAACACAGGCACATGCTTCAGGAGCGCCAATTCTGTCTCGTAATATCTAAACTATTTTGTCACCATAGACGCGATGTTTTCCATTCTCTGTTTCTTATTGGGATGCGTCCCCCTTTACCCAAATATCCTCCGTTGCCCGGACCATCAGCAGGTATAGGCAGCGCATTTTGTCTGCAGTAATTAATGTCTGAGAAAACAGTCTGAATATCATTGTTACACAAAGCACATTGCGCTTTATTATCATTCATTACAATTGAAATTATGTGTAACGTAATAGACAAAATGCAAAAAAAGCAAAGGGATACATGTTAGTCCATACATTTACAACCCATAGCATATTTTTAACCCATAGCTCATTCTATTTACCTTACAACGTAGACTCGTAAATTGTCACTATTCATTTGGAAACAGTATTTTGTTCGTAAATAGAGCCACTTTGAATTCAATTCCTTTCCTTTTTGTGTAGCCCTAAATCACAACAACAGTCATTTCAGAGGACTTTACAAAGTTGTCGATTCGCAAAAAACAGATCAGAGAATCAAACTGTTCGAACACAGGAAATACAAAAATAACGTGCACGCAGAAAGGAGAAGGATGGCCACTGTCCATGAATGATAATAAATGTGCATGAATGTTCTTAAATGTCCCGGATCATCACAAGGAACGAGGAAAAAAACAGTTGGAAAAATGTGAGAAACCTCAGGGAGGCCTATGCGAACTTTGAATCCGATGAATGAATGAATGAATACTAAAAGTTGTCAATGACATTCTTTAGTCAAAAACGAAAGACAATGGATTTCGAAACATTCTGTGCGCCCTCGGTCCTTACCAGCAAAAACAAAACAAAAAGAGTCCCAATCCAAAAATCCAATAAGCTCCGCGTCCTCTTCATCCAAAGAACTTTATTTTTAGTTTTGGGTGAATGTTTGATAATAGCTCTTCCTCACATAGGTGTTCTTCATTTTCTTGGCATGCTTTTATACGCGTAAAGTTATGCAAGCTGCGAGGCCCCCAGAATGCCATTGGACGTGAGGCAGAGGTTTGGTGAGTTTAGGTTGGGGGGCGGAGAGGTGGGGGTTCTTGAAGCGCCTCCCCTAGAAATGCAGCAAATCTGTGGCGTTTTTTACGCGCGCGTGTCGGCGGGCACAGGAGGGAGGTTGGAGATCGCATTGGCAGTGAGTGGATGAGGACACGTGTCTGCCTCTCCCCCAGGGCTCCGCGGTACCGCATTGGCATCAGTGAAGGCACCTGAAAAGACACGGACAGCACGACGAAAGGGAGCTACGTCTGGGGCTTCTAAAAACAGAAGAGAGAAGAAAAAAACGTACTTTGTTTCGCGCTTTGGTGCGTAACCACTCTCTTTACGCACAGCCAAACGTCGACATCAGAGCGCAGCGCCAGGATAGACGGAGCAGCAGCACCTGAAGGTGACATGAACCTGGGCAGAATCAAGGCGCAAACCGTGAAGAAGTGGAGATAGCAACTCAGATCCTTTCAACTAGATCCCCACATCTTGTCGTGGCCTCTTACTTCACTCTTGGGGATTTTCATTAAGGAAATTAAAATGGCGACGTTAATTAGAGGGAAGCTGTCAAATAAACTGACAAACGCAGCCCATGCTGTATCTAACAAATCACAGGCGAAGGTGAGCGGCATGTTCGCGAGGATGGGCTTCCAGGCCGCCACCGACGAGGAGGGTCTGGGCTTCGCCGCGTGCGATGACTTGGACTACGACCACCGGCAAGGCATGCAGATGGACGTGCTCACGTCCGAGGAGATGATGGGCGGTGGGGGAGAAGGGGGAGAGGGCAGCGGGGACTTGATGGACGGGGACAGTCACTACCAGAGAGACGGCACCGGCCCACCAAAGTCTGCCTCCAAAGACGGAGCTTCACCCAACGAACTAAGCGAAGCCAAACCCAAAATCACCGCCTGGGAAGCGGGCTGGAACGTCACCAACGCCATCCAGGTAAAACTGTGAAATGACTCATCATATATTTCTAGAAATCAAACAAAGTTTTCTTTGAGAGTGGTGGTGGGGCTGATGATAATAATAGTAATACTTGACTTGTGTTGATTGGGTCTTTTTTGCCCGAGATAAAGGGCGTCAAATTGTTCTGCAAAAGGAGGTAAAAAGGCTGTGCCCCGTCACCCCTCCCTCCACACCGACGCGCACGCACGAATTCTTTGTTTGTGAAGTAATGCTCATCATGGCACCGATGCAATCTGCTTAAAACGCAGTACATGAAGCCAATATCTATATTGATGAAAGTGAATGAGTGAAGACTGTCGCTTGAACAAATAAGTATTTCATTAACGGATATTTAAGGCCTATTTGGTTTTAAATAAGCCCAGACAATTAATATAACTGCCTAATGCCATCACCAATATTTTTATTATTCAGCATGTGAGTTGCATATATGCAATAATTGCAAACATCATATCTGCAGTCTTTGGAACACATCATAAATCAAGACTGCAGGTGAAATGAGCTGAGTGGTCATGATGAACTTTTATCTACAGAAAGAGAAGAGGACATTTAAAACTGCAGTGTGTCCCTGCAAAGACACGTCTCTGCCACACATTAAACAAGATCACTAAGTATAGTGATCTGAAAGAGGCTCTGCGACAAAAAGCCCTTCACACGCGCTGCTTCGCCTTTTCTGGACATGTCACGTGACGTCGCGCGTCCCCTCCGTATCACTGTGACGTCAGAGATGCGCTTAAAGCAAATTGGAAAACCACCATATGAAAAAAATAAAACATAGCTATACTACATGGTGCATACAACTGTATAAACCTGTGACATTATGTGAACAATTTACCATAATGAATATATAACAATAAAGAAAGACAAAGTATACTCTAATGTGCTTCTCTGTCACCTCTGTGGGGAACTCACGCTGACAGCCTGCATGTGCTTGCTCCTACAGGGGATGTTTGTCCTGGGCCTGCCCTATGCCATTCTCCACGGTGGATACCTCGGACTCTTTCTCATTATTTTCGCCGCTGTCGTTTGCTGCTACACGGGGAAGATACTCATCGCCTGCCTGTACGAGGAAGACGAGGACGGACAACTGGTCCGCGTTAGAGACTCGTATGTGGACATCGCCAACGCCTGCTGCGCGCCCCGCTTCCCCTCTCTGGGCGGTCACGTCGTGAATGTAGCGCAGATCATTGAGCTGGTGATGACGTGCATCCTGTACGTGGTGGTGAGCGGGAACCTCATGTACAACAGCTTCCCAAACATGCCCATCTCTCAGAAGTCCTGGGCCATCATGGCCACTGCTGCGCTGCTGCCGTGCGCCTTCCTCAAAAACCTCAAAGCTGTGTCCAAGTTCAGCTTATTGTGCACTTTGGCTCATTTCGTTATCAACATTCTGGTTATTGCCTACTGTCTGTCCAGGGCAAGAGACTGGGCCTGGGACAAGGTCAAGTTTTACATAGACGTGAAGAAGTTCCCCATCTCCATTGGGATTATCGTGTTCAGCTACACGTCGCAGATCTTTCTGCCGTCACTGGAGGGAAACATGCAGAAACCAAGCGAGTTCCACTGCATGATGAACTGGACCCACATCGCTGCCTGCATCCTCAAAGGCCTCTTCGCACTTGTGGCCTACCTGACCTGGGCTGACGCAACCAAGGAGGTGATCACAGACAACTTACCTCCTGGCATTCGTGCTGTAGTCAACATATTTCTCGTGGCCAAAGCCTTGCTCTCATATCCTTTACCATTTTTCGCCGCTGTCGAGGTCTTAGAGAAATGCTTTTTCAAAGAAGCGGAACACACATATTTTCCAGATTGCTACGGGGGTGACGGCCGTCTCAAATCCTGGGGGCTCTCACTCCGCTGTGGCCTTGTGGTGTTCACCTTGCTTATGGCCATTTATGTCCCACACTTCGCGCTGCTCATGGGCCTCACGGGCAGCCTGACGGGCGCAGGCCTCTGCTTTCTGCTTCCCAGCCTCTTCCATCTTAAGCTGCTCTGGAGAAAACTCCTCTGGCATCAAGTTTTCTTCGACGTGGCAATCTTTGTAATAGGAGGTATATGCAGCATTTCTGGCTTCATTCATTCAATGGAGGGGCTCATAGAAGCATTTAGATATAACATAGAAGAATAGCTTGTAGATGTTAAAACAAATCCCCATTTAGTCATAGAAAAAATAACTTCCGACAGGCGCGATCCCTTCTGCTTAATCCATGCGTAAAAGGCACATGTTCATGTAGCCTTGTATCTTTCACAAAAACACATGCACGCACGTACAGGTGCGTGCGCATGGCATACGGCGGTGTCAAGAGTCCACCTTGTGGACAATGTTGTACAAATACATCTTTTGAGTCAAGTTTGTAATTGAATAAAATCAGATCCATTGTGGTGATTGGACATGTTTGGGTAATGGGATGAAATAAAAGAGGATATTAATTAAAACATAAAAACAAACAAAGAGTTCAAGACCCTCGAGTTTATCGTCACAAATTGCAATATTGAAGCAGATGATACGAAAACGAGGCAATAATACACATACAATGTGAAAGCATAGGGATATTAAACTTTATTTTTCTTTACACGTGAGGAATTGGACCTTTCCCCCGAAAGACACACAGCAGCTATACAAACTATGCATTGAATGTATGATACGAAGATACAGAACACTATTAAACACAAGTAGAAGCGAAACTCTGTTTTATTGCGTAAAAGCGTGGATATCTATTATTTTAACATATGTTTAACTTAACGTCATAAAGTAGACATATTACTTTGGCTTGAACAAATGTCACTTGTCCTTTCTGGTTGCAAGATAAAAAGCCCGCACTTTCTGTTCAACAAGACCTATTCTGAGGTTAAAATGGATTTACAATTTCCTAATTTGGTGTTTGAAATCGATAAAAAGAGGAAAATGTGCATACAGACATTTTTCATTTTGTGCAATCCAATGGGTCCTGTGGAAATGTTATAAATCCGTGTAGTGTGTTGTTGTGGTTTCAAAATGATGGAATGTATATCTCAAAGTCGTTAACATATATCGTGAAATTAATATTAATAAAGAAAGAAAAGTGACATTATATTGTAAAAACATGTGTGGTTTTATGTAAAACAAACAGTCAGAACATGTATTTTTTTTGTTCTATATAATAAAAGAAAGAAACATCCGGGCGTAGTGGCATTTATTTGTGTGTGTGTGTGTGTGTGTGTGTGTGTGTGTGTGTGTGTGTGTGTGTGTGTGTGTGTGTGTGTGTGTGTGTGTGTGTGTGTGTGTGTGTGTGTGTGTGTGTGTGTGTGTGTGTGTGTAGCAGCAGCTTTAGAGCCACAGGCCTCATCTCGTGTTGATCTGATCCTCACAGCTGTGCGCCCTCCTTCTACAGAGCTCATCTGTAGCGGTATAAACCACGGTTTCACGGCCAAGGACATGCTTTCTGGAAATGCTAAATACTATAAGTAGCACATCATTTATTGTAATATTTAAGGCTAAATATTGAAGAAAAAAAAGCAGTCAAGGGAAGCTCCTCACTGCTCTTATGGCCAACATCAAGAGAAACTCAATGACAAAGGAGCAAAAAGCACAAGGACCTAATAGATCCATGTCAAGGACTAGAAAGTTTTTTTCAAACCACGGGTGGGACTAGAAGCATTCAGTACCGGCAGAGAAAGTGTGTCACCTGGTGGACAATGTAAGAAATACACAATTTCTAGGTTCTCCAAGGATTGAAGCAAATTTAGGTTTTGTATCTGCAATTTCTGGTTCAAATGTATTTTACAATTATTCATTAAAGTCAGTGACTAATGACGTTTCTTTCACCCTTCGTTTGATGCATTAGGCTTTGTGTCACTAGGTATAACATGAATTGCACTGGTCAGAAACAGTACTCAGTGAAATTCTTTATTCAAGTATAAAGGAGCAGCCATAACAATTACCATTCCAAAACACATTGTTACTTATTCGCGAGAGCAACACAACATGGTTTAGGTGGAACGAGAGGTCCACGCACATCCCCCGGCTTTTATAAGGTTAAACTATCAATGTTCAGAATGTGCTTGGTCCAAGCTGAAGAATGTCCCGAAGTCATTTTAACACCAACCAGTATCCCATAAATAATGACACGGAATTTGGTGTAAGTTTTGAAGTAAACGTCACGGACAACTTAGTGCTTTTATATTTTCTCAAGAATACTTTTTCATGACCCCAGCCTCCTTTCAACATTACATTGAACACAAAGCTGAAACAAATGATTTCCCTTTTTTTAAATAAAGTATGAAACAGCGAAACATTAATGTAAACAAACAGACAAAGTGACACAGTCTGGAGCCAAAGCCTGACATGGGTTGGACCTGTCATCTCTAAAACTTTGTTACCATTGACCCCAAGGATCAATGACTCTGGGAACTGTAGTTTTAAGATCATTCTTGTCACTAAAATGTAGTCGCAACATGTGTTCTTTGTACCTGGAACGCCCTTAACCACAGCTTAGCCAATCCACTGAGGCGTTTAATGAAATTCACTAAAATGAGCCCAAGCTTTCTGGCAGAGCAGACCCTCCAGTTATTGGTTCAGCAATTTCATACATTACTTCAAGTATTTCATATCTTTTCAACTTCATGCCCAATATAACATTACCCTGACAATTGAAATGATAAATAGGAGATGAAAGATATACACTTGAGAAAATGAAAACACAGTTGGTCCTCTTCAATTTGGCCGTTTTCCCTCCCTTCTCCATCAACACTGGGATCACAAAAAAGAAGGTAAAAAAGAAAAGAAAAAAAAGCAAGGGGGAGGGCACATGGATCCCTCTTTCTACCTCAACCAATAAGACAAGGCTTCCTCAGCACATTCATATCAAGAAAAAAGGGAAACAATAATATTCATAATAAAATATTTACAATCAGAACAAGGACAAGGAAAGACACAGGATAAAAGTGGCTCTAAAACACTGGTTTGCACATTATATGAAATTACCACAGTCACAGATTTTGCAACCCCAGAGTCCTGTGAAGGCAGAGCAGCAGACGATTAGCTGGACGGTTCCTCCTTTAGAGTGGTGGGCTTCTTGGTGGAATTTTCTGTGACCCAGGGGTGAGTGAGAACTCCCTGGATGGGCAATCGGTGCAAAGGGTTGTGCTTCAGTAGTTTGGAAACAAGGTCTTTGGCTCCCTCGCTGAAAGTGTACTGTGGCGGGTAAGAGTATTCCACCTACAAAAAAAAAAAAATACATTTAAAAACAAGAAAAACGCTCCATCACAGCAGTAGGCAACAGTTTGACATTCCTTAAAGAGGGGCACTGGACTTTGAAAGGGCGACTAGAGCCACAATTATTGGGAAGAATAATGGTAGACTCAATCCTTTTACTACCATGTGAGAAACAGGAAGTCACAAACTGGAGACTCTTGGTGCAAACAAGTTAAAGCAGAATAAAAACAATGCATGCATTAAAAAAATAAAAAAAAATCTACATTAGGGATGCACAATACAATACTAGCATCGGTCATGCTCAGCAGATGTTCAGTCTGATGAGGCCTTAATCTTGATGGAACAATGACAGTTTACTCATTACAGTAGTTACTTCGAGGATACTTTTTTTTTTTAGAGATTGGAGGAAAGAAGACTTTATATTTTTTGGCTTTCAAGTCATGAAACAATACTGCTGAAGTATCAAGAAAAAGCTACATTGGTGCATCCCGAGACACTGACAGAAGGCAACCAGAACCAAATCGTTCAGGCACACTAAGGCAATGTGGGTGAAGGAAACAACGGAAATTTAGCACTTTACAGCCGTCCCACTGAGACACCTGGTGTTCCCAGATGTCTCCCATCACAGTACTAACCAGGCCCTGCACCGCTTTGCTCCTGAGGTCTCCTGGGATCAGGCTTTCACATGCAGGTGGTGCCAGAGAGATCATATAAAGCAAATTAAGTGAACTCAATCCCACCAGATGTCCTGCTCGCCACAACAGTTCAGATACTACTATGAATAGTGTGTGATCAGTTTATCACCGTCGCAGTGCGGAGTGAATGGATCATGCCTTGTTGAGTGTCTTTGATAAAAAAAGGATTCTGCAAAAATAGTCTTACCCTCGATATTCTTCGATAAGTCTCATCATGAGTCTTTGCCTCGAATGGAGGTTGTCCGACAAGGAATTCATAACAGAGGACGCCCAGACTCCACAAGTCAACATTTTGGTCGTGAGGTTTTCCTTCAATCATTTCTGGAGGAAGATAATCTAGGGTTCCACATAGAGTGGATCTCCTACAAGTCAAAATATCAGAAAATGTTTGACAGAGCAGATTAGAAACTACATGGAACAGAAGAATTGCAGGAATGCAACAGAAGTGCAGTGTTTTACGTCACAGCCACAGAAAATGACACCTTCACGACTGGTGGTCTGCTATACAGAAGACACCAATTTGTTCAGCTGATCTTTGCTGATGGTGGGTAACCAATCAGTCCTTTAAAAAGAGGCTATAATGGACTATGCAATTACATTCGCTTAACCTATGCACTCGACAGAGGAAAACCCTAGAGAGACTTTACAATGAGAATAGTATAGATTGAAATCTTCTGTCCCACTTTATAACAGAGCATTATTAGCTTCTTGATATATAGCCCGCCCATTCGTGTGGAGCGGATCCCTCTGAATGCGTGTGTCTCCGAGGTTTCTCACTTTTTCCCCACTGGGTTTTAGTGAGTTTTTCCTTGCCGATGCAGGAGGGTCTATTGGACAGTTAGTGTCCAACAAAAAGGACTGTGGTGGTGATCCATATTTTAATGTATGGACATTAATAAACATGTGTTGGCAATTTTTTGGTGTCTTAACTGTTGATTCTCTGATCTGTGTTGGTGATTTCAATGGTTTTGTTAAGCCCTCTGAGATGACTTCTGTTGTGATTTAGGGCTATCCAAGAATAAATGGTATTGTAAGTGTATTGTATTAGCGAAGCTGGCATTGATGAAGCCAACCTCTGGGAGAAGACTCAAGCCGAGACATGACTTTATATCAGGGAAGTTTCCAAAATGAAAGGTCCATTAGAACATTTAGTAGTTTTCTCAGAATGTATACCTTGCAGAAGGCGCATGAACAGACCAGCCAAAGTCTGCAATTTTCAGCTCTCCATTGGCCCCGAGGAGTAGGTTTTCTGGTTTAATATCTCGATGAATCACATTCTTTGAGTGGCAATATTTTAGGGCATCTGCCAGTTCCATGATGTACTGTAAGAACATTCAACTTCAGCATATCGATAATAAAACGAAAATAAAACCTCGACAACACCCAAAACAAATGGACTCACAGTGGCACTTCGATCTTCAGAAAACCGTCCACATCGCTGTAGCTCACAATAGAGTTGCCCTTTAGGAGCAAACTCCAGAATGAGGTACACTCGAGAGGCATCGTGGAAGTAGCCGTAAAGACGCAGGATATTGGGATGTCTGAAACGGGAAAGCAGACTGAATAACCCAAAATCTGGACAAGACAAGTATGCACCATAGTTATTAAAGACTTTAAATTCAATGTCGGAGAGTGTTTGGGTTGTGTGTTTTGTCCGTCTTGTACAATCTGTGGTAGTATTGTATTACTGTTTGTACTGTACAGTTGTATGTTTGAGAATTCTACTGCATGATATTGTTGAATTAGTGCATGTGTGATGGGGTTGGAATCCAATAAGCATCCGCTTCATCCAACCACTTTTCGAACCAGGTTATGTGTCTTTTAAATTGATACATGTAAAAATTACGTAAACCTACTGCTGCTTACATGTACAAACGCTAACATATAATACACATGGCTTGCACTAGAGTACACAGTACTTTATGCTTGCCTCTTATTTTTCCAAATGTAAAACTTTATACCCTTTATTATCATGTTCAAGGGGGAGATTTTTGTGTTCTTTATTTTTAATTATCTTTGACTGTTGCACTGAGCTAAAGCCATTTCCAAGTCTGTGACTTCCTGTTACCTACGTGGCAATAAAAATTATTCTGATTAAACTCGTTTCTTTGTTAGAGATTTTGTTTTATTTTAATTAGTGAAAGCTATTTGTTAACTTGATCTCTTAATGTATTGTGCAGGTAAATGAAAAGAAAAAAAAAAAATAGGGAGGGCTGTAATGGACCAGGCTCCTTGCTTTAGTATTTAACAAAACACTCATGAAAAATCTTAACAGATCTGGACCAAGTTACCTTAAATGAGACTGTATCTCCACTTCCCTCCTCAGCTGATGTTCTACACCGGCCTTCTCCAGCTGCTTCTTAAAGAGGACTTTCAAAGCAGAGATAAACATGCTCTGTCGCTCTCTGGCCAGGTAGACATTGCCAAACTTTCCTTTTCCAAGCGGCCGCCCAATCTCAAAGTCCTCCAGGCTCCACGGCTTTCTATAGGACAAAATGCAGTTATTTTATAAACATTTAAATCACTAAACTAGGAATGGGACAACACATTCACACCCATTAAAATCATATTATTGAGCTTGTTCAATCACTTACTTCAGCCCTTTTGTGGGTTTACCTGCAAAGAAACACAATGTTCAATATTTGAGGTAAAAGCGGGTGGAAAACACATGTACCCTAGTGTCTCATACTTAGTGCCTTTTCAGTTTTTGAAGGACCAGTTACAGATACAGTCTTTTGCCGCTCTGCCTTAGTCTTTGGCTCCTGTGTTTTTGGTGGGTGAGTTTGTGTCTTTTGTTGTACATTCTGATGAACTGGTTTAGTATTTTCCAAATTAGCAGAGGTTGTCTTCACGACTGCAGAGATCTGAGATACAGGTTTTGGATGAGTTGCTGGTTGCTGCAGTCTTTGAGGTCCGTTTGAGACTCCCATGACGCGCTGAGGCATCTGCGCATGTCGAGATACAGGAACACGCATCGGCTCACCAAACCTCATCTGCAATGAAAATTAAAACTTTAAAAAGTTAGATTGCACAGAGTGTGTTTGAGTTTATTCTTCAGTGAGTGTCTAAACTAAATCATGATGCCTGAATTCAATTGGGTCTAGGGGTTTTGTAATTGTAATGTCTCCAAAAACAGTGGCGCTGGATGCTTCTTTAGCTTTAACAACTAAAGCTAAAGCAGCATTTAAAACTTCAGCACTTGCTGAAATATGAGCCGCAACTTTTCAACTATACCAATGTGGCCATTTTAATTTCATTAGCACGCTGCTGGAGCACAGGAGCGATTTTGAACAAAGCTTTATTCCAAATGTAATGTACAATGCAGAGATTTCCCCACTGTAGGATGAATAAAAGGTCAGAATTGCCATGTAAGTAACAGGAAGTCAGACTAGGAAATTGCTGTGGCTCAGTGCAACAGTCAAAGAAGAGCGGTGAAGAATAGAGTGAGGCATATTAAAAATCACCACACACTTCTAAAAAAGGTGTAGAAATTAAGACAACATTATTACAATTACAATATTGGAAGTAATAAAAAAAGATTTATTTGTTTCACAAGTGAGGAAAATATCTGTTTCCACAAACATTACAGAACAGGAATAAATGTTATATAGTATAAACACTAAATAACTAGAAGATTAGTAAGTGCTACAACCAGTAGGGTTTCAGGCTAATATTTCTAGTGATGACTACAACAGTTTATGCATTAGTAGACAGAATAGCAGAAAAAAGTGACAAGGGGACATATTGAGATACTTGCATAACCAATACTACATTAGAATCATTTTTATTGCCATGTTAGTAACAGGAAGTCACAGAGTAGGAAATTGCTTTGGCTCTCGGTGCGAACAAGTAAAGAGTAGAGAGTATAATAAAACATTTCTAAAGTATACAATTCTCTAAAATGAAAAAATAAAATATAAATGATTATGATTACTTTAAACAAGTGCATACATTAAGAAATTCAGTAAGGTGACTGCATTAAAGTGCCTTTATAAAAAGGCAGTAAAGAGACTTTATAAAGGGCACTTTATATAATACATAGTCTGGCTCATAATTACTACTGGTTAATGGCACCGACGGAGTTGGTAAATTATATTACTTGGAAGTATACCTAATACGTATGTTAATCATATTATCCGTTTGCAGTCCACCTGTCGGGAGTACTTCTGAACAAAAAAAATTGTCGATTACCTGAGATTGTAGTACAGTATAATAATGCTGACAGCTATGGGCATGATACTTCACAATGTATGGAAATACAGATTTTCTGCAAAGCACTGTTTCGTGGTTATTAACAGGCCTCTGAGCAACAGTCTGGGGAAAACAATTGTTTTAAACGCCAAGCCAAGTAGGAAAGCGAAAGTAACACTACCTTTGCAACATACTAACAGAGTGAAGCCATCGCTACAATTGTTATGGTAAAAAGAAAGGCAGAAGAGGCTAGCAGGTTCTGCTAACTACACGTCAGTGTATCTTACCTTTGGTTCGGTCTTTAGTGGATTGACTTCCTTAGACATTTTGACTCTTGCAGAAGAATCCATTGCCTTCAACAGAATATAAATAATTCATTCAGAGGAGATAGATATATATATATATATATATATATATATATACTGAAACAGCTTCGAAATTAGCAATGGCTTCCGTTACTGAGAATGACCCGACAGCCACACCAACTAACTACAACACATCATGGAAAAAGGCCATTGTACAAAACACAAATGCCATTAGAAGACTAAAACTCTATATATGTTGGACTTACCTAATGTGGTTTTCCCGTTTCTTTAAACAGTTTAAAATCCGATGTGTTGGTATTCGGTTGGGTCGTTAGCCTTTAGCAATGTGGAACGATGAACTTACCCTAAAACCACAATGCCAAATATGCTTTACCTTCAACAACTCCACGTATATGGGGAGTGTCGTCTCAGCAGACAATGACAGATGTCTGTAAAGTGCCAGAATGTGCTTTTAAGGAGAATAGTGCACCGCAAGAGTCTGCATGGGCTGTGTATACTATGATATGGCACAGACTCAAACGCTTTTTTCAAAGAAACACTTCAAAACCTTTAAATCCAGCACAGCTTTCTGATTGGCCAGCGCAAACAGTCTGCATTATTCCCATTGGCTCTGAAGATCTGACGTAGAGACGTAAGAAGCATGACACAGACGCATGGAGGGCACAGATGTACATATATTTTGTTTAATAATTATATATATTTTTTTCATTTAAACATTATTTTCATCCTGGCGCCGGTTTTTCTATAATACATAATCACAGAGTTACTGTTTGCATTGTTTTGTTTAGTTCAATATAGTGCAATACCAGAACACCCCACATGAAGGCAGTAATTCTCAAAACCGCTAAGACTAAACTTTTTTTTGGGTGACAGTGGTTAGCGCTCCTCGCTTAACAGGGCCGAAATTCTGGGCGGAGTTTACATGTTTTTCCCATGTTCTAGAAGCTCGTCCCTAGCATTAAAAACATTTACAATTGGTCAAATCCAGCTCTGGTCTTGACCAAACCAAGCATTAACATCTGGACATTGGCACTGTACTATGGCGACCACTGCTCCTGATAGAGGAAGATTACATGATGGGTAGATATGTATAACTTAACTTAGAGAATGCATTGTTGACAAGGAGGTATTATATTTTTAAGATTGCTTTTTGATGATGGTCAACAAAGGGAGAAAACAATATTATGAAAAAGTTGTTTTATTTTTATTCACCATGGTCTAAATAAATATGACACTTGATTACAATTGAAGAAACTATTGGCACCAATGCAACTGTAACAAAAACCACAATACTGATATCAGCATATCTTTCAGCGTGCAACTGTAGCAGCAGTTTTGTTTTCATATGTTAGTGCAAATACCTGTCAAAATGACATACTGTAAAGACATGCTGAATATGAGAACGTATTATATTCATATATAGTCCAGGTACCACAAACAAACATAACAAACAGAAGTTACAACCAATAAGTCTCTATGGCAGAAGGACTGATCCCTTCATTCTACAATAGGCTTTTGTGCAGAGGTTTCAGGGTCCCGTGTGAAATTATGCAAACATGTATTTATTAATAATAATATATTATGATTAAACAAAATATAATAATAATAAAAACATTCACTGATGCTGAGATGCATTCTATTACATATTCACAACAGTTAAGAATGTTCTGCTGGCATCATGAGGTCGTGTTCATAATTGGTATATTTTTCCAAGTGCATTCTGTGACCTCTTTTGTTCTTCACCAACACTACCATCTCTAAAAAGTCTTGTCCCTGAGTAGGTTTTCAGAGTGGTCCAGTCAAAAGGCAGTCATGGTGAGACTGGAGAGATGTTGGCAGCTTCCAGCCCCAGACTGTCCTAAAGGTGAATGGAGATGGATCTTTTCCCAGATGGGTCACACTGAGTGTCATTTCTCTGTGACTGCTGCGGCTGCCATAGGAGCCCGCATGGTTCCGCGGGCTGTGGCTGCTAGTTCTTCAATTTCAGTATTCAAACGTCTTATTACCCACTCCATGGCTTCACGGCCCTGTGCAACAGAACATATTTAATAATGGAACACGAGAGCACCAAAGTTGAAGTGTCAGTCTTTGTCAATCAAAATGAATGGATGTTTTTCACACAGATTATTCGTAGGGTCTTTTGGTAAAAATATGATTATTTAAAAGACTTACCTTTCCAGCGTTAGCAGAGATGGTACTCGCCATAACTCCCTCCAGATAACTGCTCAGACTTACTCCTTTCACCGAGATAATAGCTTCCTGTGTCAGTATTGTTCTAGAATGATGGAATTGTATTATTAACGTAATAGATTTATACATGGAAGCAAACATCAAAGACACAATTGTGAGTGCTTACTTTTCTGAATCTTCTGGGTGAGGCTTGTACGTTAACTTCTCATCCACAGAAACTAAGTTTGTAAAAGTAATCTGAAAAAAACACAACAAAGAAAAAGAAAATAAGGCTAAATAGGAACACCTCCTGGATCTGAAATGGTAAGATGTGTGCTCTTTGGTGAGGGGATTGTCAGTGTGCGATGACGGGGTCTAATTAATATTTTTTAAGACATGCAATAATCAATAAAGGCAACTTAAGAAGAAGAAAGGGCATTATTTGATATATTCTTTAAGACAATAAGTTTAGTTTGTATTTTTGGAGACTAATCAGGTCAGTCACTTCTGCAGTAAACAACTGAGCAAATATTATCTTTTAGATATAGTATCTATGCCACAAGAAGAAATATAATTATATATCAATCAATAGAGCAATGCTGACAAAACAATCAGCATTTAAACAACAGCAAAGTCGATCATATTATTGAGGTTGAGAATGCATCAGCTGCTTGTATCTTTATAAAGGGACTCACATTAGTTGACTGAAGCTCGAGTGTCTTCTCTTGAGGGTCCACAACTGAATGCTCTTGAACATAAGTGTAAGTCCGTGAGTTCCCAATAATCTGAGGAAACAAATCAAGGTACCTTTTACTATACTACTCCTTTTTCATAACTACATGTTCTAATGTATAGGACATACACAGTGAATACACAGACAGCATGGACTATAACCTAATAACTTGGAAATTGTATGGTCAGTCCATTAAAGCCCCATGTAATGATATTTCTGCTTTGTCTTTACAAACTTGTAACTTCTGAATATTCTTTCAATCATGTTTTTGTTGAATCCTACAAGAAACATACCTACAAATCTTACAAGTTCAGGTTCAGTTGAGTTAGGCAATACTTTATTGGCCCAGAGAGGAAATTTGACCTTGGTCAGCAGCAGTGGTCGGATGTACTATGCCGTGTTACAGAGTCTATAAAATCTGTCAGCCCAAAAATCTGAGAGCCGTATGTTTAGGTCACAGTGAGAACTAACTCAGAAGAGCAAATAAAATATGATAAATATAATCACTACATTATAAAAGACTGTAATCATCAAACTCATGTCAGGCTTCATGAATATCTTGAAGTACAGGTTTTGAGATTCAACAAAAGTTACATCACATGTAAGTTATGGGTGACTGACACCTAAGTAATGACTGGAATGACACCGTGGCTCACCGCCATGAACCAGCTTTTATTCTGTGAGCAGCGCATGTCGCTCAACAGAAATAGCCACATTGGTTAGGGGCAAGTTTGGGGCATTATAGAGGTGCATATAAAGCCAGTGAGGAGACGTCTTAGGACACAAAATACAGTTATTAGAGGCATTTTGAATAATGCATTACTCATTTAAGTAACATATTCTAGAAATTTGGGATTGGATTTAAAACAGCTTAATGTTAGTTTAGATTTTATTTTACATGTATCTATCACAAAAAAAGAGGATAAAATAATAATAAATGATACATCTATAGATTTTCAATATGTAGGCAAAGATGTAACATGTACAGATCAACGTGTGAGATCAATAAAGTTGTATCTTATCTTTATTAATGACGTTTGTGATAAAGGAATACTTACAGATTTCACTATAGACGGTAGGCCCCACTCTGTGCTGAGGAGTCTTTTACTGTGGAGACGGCCCTGGGTGTCGATCGATCGGTCCAAAACATCGACGCCTATCACACTGGGATTCATGGGGTTTGGGTACTTCTGCATGGCAGCATTGGTCACGGTTTCCCATGGATGGCTGCAACAAAGAGCCAAAAGTGACTAAATTGTCATCATGTTCTGTTGGGGTTATATGCATTAGATAATAAGGAGGTTGCAGTAGAAATTTTATAATGAAGTAAAGTCAAGAAAAGTCAAGAGACAAAGCAGTGTAATCCCTCAGGTTTCAAAAGCAGTCATCTTGAAGCTTTCAGGTACTTTGCTTGACTCATCCAGGTGTCATTTTTAGGACACACTTTATTTTACTTTAACACCAGGCATTCTATCAGATAATCAATGTATTTAAAAAAACATGTAAGTATAATATTGCCCATGGGATATACTCGTGTGTAGGTCTATCATTATTGTTAGGTTTTATATACTAGATTGGAGATCAAATTCATGAATGAAAAAAAATTCTTGTCCGTGACGTCAACGCAATAAGAGAATAATAATAAAAAATAATAAAAAGATTTGACTACTTTTGAAAGATAATATAAAACCTTTAAATAAAAATGTAAATTGACTGACAGTACCAGTCATGAATGGTTGCCAAGGAGACGGGTGACGGAGCTGCGGTTGCGTCCAAAATCAAAGACATACTTACTTATTATGCCTTCCTTCTCATTCTTGCAATAAAAAGTATTTTAAAAAGGTGTTTACTTTCACTTGACTGAATCGGGAGCTGCCTCGTTCCGTAACAGGTCATTTTTGATGCACGATAAGGACAAGTAAAGATAAGCAAGAAGTATTTATGGTGGATTCGGATGCAGAAAATGTACGAGCGGGTGACGTAACAACGCACGTTATGAAGTGGGGGAAAGGTTGCGTCTGGTGCCGACCGGCGACTCATGCAACACTAAGGTCATTTTTGACATGGTTCATTCATATCCTCACGTCTATGAGCGCATTTTGGCATCGAACTACGGAATAAACGAAGCGTAAAGACGAGGTTACATAGACATCTCTTTGTCTTACATCCCGGGTCAACCATTTTGGGATTACATAGATTAACATACTAACCCATGGCCGACGTAATGTGTTTTGGCATGTCTCGATATAGTCCCGACAGACAGCTGTCTAATGTATACTTTAACTTTAATTTAACACATTTCATCCTTCATTCAGTAACTCACGTGTGAAGCCTCGACCATGGTAGATAGAAATCAAGGCAAACAGTCTACCCCAGAACTACAGAGCATTCGAAAAACGTTGACTCACTTAAAGATGTGTTCTGATGTCCAAATCTTCATGGTGTATCCTGGATTTATGGGAGCGTTTTGGAGTGGGGCCGAATGTGGGAATCTCAGTGAGGAAGACGACGATCCACGCTCCAGGACTGCACTTATGGCTCCACCCACCTCCACGGACCCGCCCCCCGCTGTCACGAGCGACAGACGCACATCCACAAGGTTACCAGTATAACCATCTGACAGACCATGTGAAGGCTAATGGAAAGTATTCAGACTATCCAGGCGCACTTTCTGTAACTATATATACATTATTGGACATTTCGTTCACTAAGAAGAGCGAAAAGAATAACCGTGAATGCTCCTCTAAAAGATTATGTAAACTCATTCTGTGGAGCATTCTCCATGGTTGGATTTGTAAATTCTCAAAGCCAGGTCATAATTTGTGATAATGCAACCCTTTTGATTCAATAAATTAGTATGGAAGGATATATATTAGTATGGATAAACATTTATTATAACACCATATCAATATCTTTGTCTGTAGGACTATTCTTAATGAGTACCAACCCAGTCTTTACCATAGACGACAATATGTATGTAGAACAATATGAATATGACTTCAAATAAAGATTGTGGTAAATGTGATAACACAAAGACCACTTTAGATCTCATTCTTTCCATACACTGTGTAGGAGCCTAAATAGAGGTTTAGTTTAGTTTGATTTTATTTTGATACATTTCTATTTGTTTGTATTATTATTTGATTTGAAATACGTTATTTTTGTGATTAGATTAGATTTATGATTAATTGGCAATTAATTAATTTTGATATTTTGCATCTAATTTAGTTAGCTGTTTTGTAAGTCATTATTGCTAAGTTAATCATTGATTTATTTTGATTTAATATATATTTTTGTATTTTTTCTCAGTCCTGGCCCCAGGCTAGTTAAGGTGCAGGTGTGCCAGGGAAAGCGTGGAGAGTGGAGTGGAGCCACACAGTTTTTTGACCTCGATACTCTCTCCCAACTCTCGATATACTCTCTCCTCTAGTTCTTCTCTTTTTGTACAGTATGTGTTTTTGTTTTGTGAATATTCAGTAAAGAGTTTTTAATTGCATTTTACTGTTCCCTGGATTTATTCACTCACTTTACACACTATATGGATTATGAGAGCGTCAACTACATGGCTTCACTGTTTGGACCCTACACACTGTGCTGATAAGCTCCTACTCTTGCTAGCTGTCCTTGAGAAGGAAGCAAGGCTGCCATTCGGTGCCGTCCGCCCCTCATGCACCAGATTCATTGACAGTGCGGTTGAAGTGTCTTGCTCAAGGACACAGCAATGACGCAGCAATTATTTTATTCAATTCTGTTTATTTTGTGTTGCCCAAAATCACAACAACAGAACCACCAACTCCCAATGACAGACTGGGGACCGATCCTCAAGTCCAGGGCAGGGAGTCCCATATGTATTCATGAAGCAGAGGAACATCGGGTGTAGGTTCCAAGTAATCTGGGCCTAACTTCACTTAGAATCTGATATCTTTGACAAACAGGCATGGTCGGAGCAGGCATGGTTGTTAGAGCTGAATGAAGAGACATAAAACTGCATGGGAATATAATGCAGAAGCGTCTTAAAGACCTTCCGATTGATCTGATTTGTTTTTGCAGCTTCCGTCTATACCTATCGGAGTCTAGTAAAAGCTTGTTGTCCCTGTCAACCCAGGTTGTGAGTTTACTAGGACATGCTCCACTGTGTGGCATAATCTAGATAAGACCAGGCAGTGGCCTTGGCGAGCTGCCACGACAAACATGTGAAATGAATTAATACAGTAATTGAACTGTAGAGGAAATCTTTGTACCCCCAGAGAGAGATTTAGTACTTCCAGTGGTACATGTATATCGTTGTTTCAGAAATAGTAACTAACAAAATTTACACATCTATGTAAAATACTCATCAGAGTGTTTAGTCCTGACCATTTAATAATTCATGTTGAATTAAAGCTGCAAGTGGCATCAAACAGCCCACGCATGCCATGCATCATACACCATCCTTACTGGAGACGCTGTTGCGCCTTCTAAAATGATTTATGGTAAAATGTTGTACCTAATTCATATGTTTTGGGTAAACCCAAAGTAATCGGTTTGAGACTTTACCAGGTCATTTACACGTCATGCCTGCTTATCTACAGACACAGGCTCTCCAACCTACTTATGTGTAATCACCATGTCCCAGACTGAGTGGGAGGAAACTCTGTGGTTGCATTGAGCTGCAGTGTCACCGAGCTGTCAGCATGCTGTCCATCAAACAAATAAAAGAACAAGCATCACACCAGCCATCTGTTTTGAAGAAAGAAAAATAAACATACAAATACAATTGTACATTAATGTATTTTATTTAAGCTGTTTGAACACTGCAGATCACATAGTAACATCTTATATATGTATATATATGCTTTATATAAACGGACAGGGGACAGGCAATAAATCACATGTTTGCTTTGCAACTATAAAATCAACCACGTTTCTCACAGATCATTACATCCAACTTTCAAATTGAATTGAATCACAATATACCTGGTGACCAATTGTATTATGTGTATATATACATGTTTTGTGTTACCCTGTGAACTTATCTATTTAATCTAATGTTTCACCACTAAGCTCTGTGACGGTTTCTAACATTCTAACATCCATTTGGGGCTGCACTTTGGCTGCTGGTCGAGAAAAGGGGACCTCCACTTCCTCTTCCTCATCATCTTCATCCGTTTCTATTTGAGCGTCTTGGTACTGTTGGTACTCTGACACCAGGTCGTTCATGTTGCTCTCAGCTTCCGTAAACTCCATCTCATCCATACCTTCTCCAGTGTACCAATGCAAAAATGCCTTCCGCCTAAACATGAGAGAAAACTGCTCGCCCACCCGTCTGAAGATTTCCTGGATGGCCGTGTTATTGCCAATGAACGTGGACGCCATTTTGAGACCACATGGCGGGATGTCGCACACAGCCACCTTGACATTATGAGGGATCCACTCCACAAAGTAGTTGCTATTCTTCTGTTGAATCGCAAGCATTTGTTCATCCACTTCTTTCGTTGACATTCGCCCACGAAAAATAGCTGCCACTGTTAGGTAGCGCCCTCTCCTGGGGTCACACGCGGTCATCATATTCCGAGCATCGAACATTTGCTGCGTGAGCTCGGGAACGGTCAGGGCTCTATACTGCTGGCTTCCACGCGCAGTTAAAGGGGCAAAGCCTGGCATGAAGAAGTGAAGGCGGGGGAAGGGCACCATGTTTACCGCAAGCTTTCTCAAGTCTGCATTGAGCTGCCCTGGAAACCTAAGCGAGGTCGTGACCCCGCTCATGGTCATGGAGACGAGATGGTTTAGATCTCCGTACGTTGGCGTTGTGAGCTTCAGCGTACGGAAGCATATGTCATAGAGGGCTTCGTTGTCAATGCAAAAAGTCTCGTCGGTGTTTTCCAGGAGTTGATGCACGGACAAAGTGGCATTATAGGGCTCCACTACTGTGTCAGAAACCTTTGGTGATGGCATGACACTGAAGCTGTTCATGATACGATCTGGGTACTCTTCCCTGATTTTATTGAGGATGAGGGTGCCCATGCCCGAGCCCGTGCCTCCGCCCAAGGAGTGCACGAGCTGGAAGCCCTGGAGGCAGTCGCAGCTTTCACTCTCCGTCCTGACCCGGTCTATCACCTGCTCCACCAGCTCAGCCCCCTCTGTGTAGTGGCCCTTTGCCCAGTTGTTCCCCGCGCCAGAGTTTCCTAAGAAACAGAAGTAGCATTGACCTCCAAGAAACTTTTCACAATCACACCACAACATCTTCTCCCTCTTTCCAATTCATTAGACAATGACAATCACTGACACTCACATGGCATTATTCATTTTCTCTGTGGGTGAGAAACTACTGGGGAGCTGCCCTGGGGAGCTTGATAGAAGCGAGGCAACCAGTACGTTTCATCGACCCCTTCGGACACCACCAACCATTCACACACACACTCGCTCCAGGCAATGTGGGTGATGTGTCTTGCCAAAAGACACAACAACAGTTTGGTACTTTACTAAGACTGTGGCACCTGGTCACAGTACTAACCAGGCCCTGCACTGCTTAGCTTCAGAAGTCTGACAGGATCCTTTTATAATTTGTTGTATAGTAAAATTAAACCATACCTGAAATAAATTTCTGTAACAAATGTCATAATAAAGAACATAACTTCAGTAATATGCAATGTGATCTTACCATGAATAAAATTGTCCGGTCGAAAAAGGGCCCCAATCCGACTCCCTCTGACACTGTCCATTGTTCCTGGTTCCAGGTCGACAAGTAGCGCTCTGGGGACATATTTTCCACCTGAGAAAAAGATTGTCTCTGCATAGATGAGCTGGTATCGCTGCAGCTTTGAACACTAATAATGTAGTTTTATTGTCGAAATTCCAATGAAGACTATTGCAGAAAAGCAACAATGCTGACCCAACATTCAATTAGACAGTGACAGTATGTTCTGCTGTGTGTGAGCTTAAACTGCTGACCTCAACCACAGCTGGCCAAGTCAGTGGTCATTAAGTCACTGAATGTACAATTGTGTTTTATTTACCGTGTGCTTCGTTGAAGTAGACGTTGACCCTCTCCAGCTGCACACTGGAATCTCCTTCATAGATTCCTTTGGCATTGATGCCATGTTCCTCACTGATCACTTCCCAAAACTGAAACACAACAAGCTTATTTTTAGAGCATAATATTCACAGTATTTAGAGTTTTACAGAAGGACAGAACGCTAACAGTATCATACAAACAAATTAGTCAGAAACTAAAACATTATTTTAATTGAGAGACAGATGAAACTCCTATCATTTTGATAATCATAGTGTTAGTGATAGGTGATCATAATAAAATGAGTCATTAATCATTGGCACAATGTTTATAATTGTTTGAGATAAAGAGATAGATACTTCCTCCATAGGAGAAATTCAGGTGTCCAGTAGCAGCAGAACCACATTCAACAATACAAACAAAACAAATGAATTCTAAAAGCAGCTAACAATAGTAATAGACTGGCAGGTGGTTGCTTAGTATAGCTCGTCAGTGGTCTCTTCCAAACAAATTCAGATCCTGTATTGGTTTGGGGAATACCAGGTGAAAAAGAGAGCGGGATTGAGCACATTTGTGCGACTGCTCAAAAATGTGGCTCACTTTCTGACTCAGACAAGAAAAAGATCTCACGTTTCGCCTATATTTGGAAAAAAATCTTCTCTAGCTCCAAATTCAGGCATTGATTTACTTTAAAATCATTCTTCTGGTTTATAAAGCCCTACACAGTCTGGCGCCTTCATATATTTCTGATTCACTTGTGGTTTGAACCTCTGTGCAGCCTCAGATCCTCGGACCTGGATCTTCCCGTTCCTTGTGTAAAACTTAAAAGAACCAGCTTTCTCCCTGTACGCTGCTTGTGAATGTAGCACAATGCCTAATGTCATCAATTGTTCTCCGACACAGCAACACTGCTGTTGTATTTATGCTCATATTCAGTTTGTTTCATGTTGTTTCTAAAATACTGTAGAAAAAAAACATATTTCCATTTATATTTTTGAGACGGCATGATAAAACTGTCCCGCCCATGCCAGTTTAGTGAGACGCTCTTATCTTTTCAAACAGCCTTTGCCACTCCGAACTGATGGCAGCTACTGGCTTTAATATAGAGACATTCACAAAAGTTATTGATGAAAATGTGAGAATGCACCATTATAATAAAACAAAATTGTATTTATTATTAAGGCACTGTGCTTCTTTTGCAAAAGCGAAACAAAATGTATCATATATACATACCTAGATGTATACATGCATACATACACACACATAGATACACACAGGTAGACAGGCGACAAAAGGATGTGCAAAGGCAAAGGGTAGAAGTGAGGGGAAGGAGGTTAATCACCAGAAATTTCAGATTAATCAAGCCAGTGAAAGTGAGAGGTGCTTTTTTACAAAACGAGAAATAAGCGATTGAACATAAAAGTGATATATTGTGTATTTGAATTGTTTCGTCTATTTAAGGGACAGCAAACTAAAATACACACATAAGTCAGAATGAGGAAATTAAATCAACTTTGAATGATTTTACATTTATAAACATTTAAATCTGTTGCTGTTTTATACTGTTGCAAAAACTAAACGGCTGCTTATCCTAAACCTTTTGGTGTAGCTCACTGACCTTAGGGGTTCAGACAAGGACAACATGAGGCCCCAGTGATACAGCATTTAGAGCAACACAAATAATGCCATAAAACATTATGAAATATTTATCCCAAAAATACTGAAAAATTTATGATTTTGAGATAAAGTTTTTTCATATCCCTGTCATTTACAAGTTGAAGAAGAGATGCATGAAAGCTAGTGTGATGAGGCTTTAAATATATGAAATATGTGAGATGTAATTACCTTTGAGCCAATCTGGTTGCCACACTGTCCGATTTGGAGATGTACAATTTCCCGCATGTTGCTGGAGTTATGAAAAGGTTGCTTTTGGTTTCTGATGCGAGATGAGTTTCATGATGGGAGTTTTATACTGTGCTCCTATTGATGTCATCAGTGATGTCAGAAGGTCTTCGTACAGCACCAACATTATAAGAGAAACATCAAAACTACAAAACTATTCTCTCAGGCCATGTGTCATTTTTAATATTAAAGTTATTTGAACATTTTAAGGTAAATTTATCAGTAAAAATATCCCAAAAGTTAAGTTCAAAACTTGAACATTAAAATCATGATGAGAAACGTTTGAAAGTTGCTGCCATCTTCTGGTCCAAAGGAGGAACATCTTCACCTACAATAAACCTTATGATAAAAGTTGAAACCTTTTTGTGCAGAGCTCAAAAACTTGTTGGATGGAAAGAAATAATAGGGTTTGGTTATTGGCTTCAAAGATGCCTGCTAGTGTAGTGTTGGTGTAAACCTCCCGCCTGTCCTCAGCACATACATTTTTTCATTTCTTGGGAAAAAAATAGAAAATTTCTATTTAATTTCCCGAGCTTATGCGAGGAAAACTAATATAGAGCCTCACCTAAAGCCTAAATATTAGTTTTCACCGTTACACCTGACAGACAAAATGCCAATGGCCTGCAAGTTCTTAGAAGAAAACGTCACAATCCAGCTAATTCAAGAACAAATGAGGGAAATCTCAAATGCATCCTAGAAAAGGCTTCTTCCATTATCCAAATCTGGGAAAACAGATTGGGTACAGTAGTGAACCTTTCCAGAAGTGGTCCAACTCCAAACCAAATTGACTCCAAGTGTCCAACGAGAACTCATCCAGGAGGAATCAAAGACCCCAGCAGGATCAAAAGAACTGATGGCAGCGCTGGTCTCAGTCAAGCCATGTGTTCAAGACTAATGAACACTTGGCTTGACTCTCATGAGAGAGTTCCAATTCATAAAACACTGTTCGCACAAAGGGGAAAAAAGGGCATTTGCTGCAAACATGCTTCCAAGACTATAAATGTTATTTCGCTATAAATGTGGCATGAGTTCTCATTTGGCCTGGGGGTCGTGACTGTGGAGAAACCAAACAACTCCATATTTACGTTTCCTGAGGAGGGTCCAGCACCTTCTTGACTTATGTGCATCCACTTGCTTCGTCCCTGAGCCACACTGTGGCATTAAACCCACACCACCGAGCCGGACAACAGGGAAAGTTTGAGGTTAGCACATTTCTTTGTGTAGCAGCAGAAATTAATACTGATGTGTTCACAACATGTTTATGATCCAATGCACATATTAGCAAATGAGAATATTCTGCTCAGTACAAACAGGAAACCGATCCGGAATATGGGGCCTGGGTGTGAATAGAGGTTATTAGACACTGTGCGCAGAGAATGGGTAATCTGCCCTGATTTATTTTGTGTGTGAAAAAGTGTTGAACATTCATGCATGTGAATACCTTGGTTTAGCTTTAAGACCATGTTGGGACCTTCTTCGTGACGCTTTGGACAAATCATGTGATCCAGAAAGGCTCTATCTTCTACACAGTACAGTGTGGATCACTAATGCTCCACACTGATACAATCTATACAGTCTATAGACTGTATCTTTCTAACCTCTAGAGACTATGGTCCACACCATAAACCATGTCCTTCTCCAGTATAGTGTGGACCAAGGACTGTGCCCTTCTCTTGTACATTGTGTGGACCATATCCTTCTCCACTCTCAGAGTCTATGGTGTGGATGGTTCAGGTCAGAAAGCTGGGACAACAAGGGATCAGCCTGTTCTGCAGATCATGTTTCAAAATAAAAGCATGCGTGGGGTTCTATGTGAAAGACAGAATATTGACTACAGCTGGATACAGCCCCCAAGCATTCACTATATTTTGCTTTCTTGGCCTTGTCATAGCTTTAATGTATTGGAAAATACACGAAATACACGAAAATACATGTGCTGTGTATTTTCCAATACATTTAATTTCTGCTCCAGCACATGCACCTCATGAGAAGAACTTGGTGTGCGTTTTTGTTTTTCTAGTTTCACTTGTCATAGCTTTAACACGTTTCTATTTTGTGTGCATTTATGAATAATGTCTCAATCCCTTCTCATAACTATGCCTACTGTCATGTTGCACCTGCATTGTCTGTGCGCAATACTGATGGATTATTATTACTTGTGATCTAATTTACTATTTGTGCACTTTATACTGACCTAACCATTGTTGATTTTTTTTTTTTTTACATGGATTATTAAGGACATATTTGTAGCTGACTATAAGTGCATAATCAAAGCAGCTAGAAACTATGATTGAATGTGTTGCAGACTAAACAAAAGAAACAAGTCAAGACATCCAAGTTCCACTTTTCAATCAGAGAACCCAAAACCAGAACATAAACAAAGTCATCATTCAAGAACACGCCAACACAGACTGCTCATATTTATCAGCCCAAATAAAATATAGATTTTCTGCTCGACTGAAACATGGATTTTGTTGACTAAATTGACAACTGGTAGACTAAAATAAAACGTAAAAAGAGTACTATTAGAGATAAGTATAGCTGTAAATGCTTCTAAAATAGCAGTAAATGCTTCATAATAAGCAATAAGTATATCAATATAAATATACTGTACAGACCAAAAGTTTGGACACACTTTCTCATTCAATGAGAAAGTGTGTCCTTTCTTTTCATGAATATTGACTGTAGATTCACACCCAGGCTGTGTAAGGGCTATTTGTCCAATAAGGAGAGTGGTGGGTGCTGGGCCAGATGACCCGGCCTCCACAGTCACCGGACCTGAACCCAATCCAGATGGTTTTGGACCTGAACCCAATCCAGTGATCGGTGCACTACCCTGGGTGCACCAATCACCAGGGGCACTACTGTCACCTTTACCCTCCAGGCCCTCTCCGGCTTCTCTCTGAGCCCTTGGTATTTCTTAAGCTTTTCGTGTTCTTTTTTCCTGGTGTAACCATCACTTGGAATTGCCATGTCCACCGCTATGGCTTTCCTCTGCCCTTTGTCTACCACCACAATGTCAGGTTGGTTCACCATCACCATTCGGTCGGTCTGTATCTGGAAGGATCTTTGCACGCTCATTCTCCACCACCTTTGGAGGAGTTTCCCATTTAGACCTTGGGACCCATACTCTGCCACCCTCTTGCACCCTGCAGTTATGTGTTGGATTGTCTCAGGTCCTTCTTTGCACAACCGACACCTTGGGTCCTGTCTGTTCTGGTATATCTGGGCCTCTATCAGTCTGGTGCTCAGGGCCTGATCCTGTGCAGCCATGATGAGTGGGTCAGCACTAGATCATATACGGAATCGGGACGGAAGTGGAAGTAAATATAACCAACTACCTATTTATGCCTAAACTTTACCAGCCATTCCCATAGAATAACCCCAACCCACCCTTAACTCTAATCTTAACCATCTTACTCAGACACCTAAAACTTAACCAGTCACCACTTAAGGACTTATTAGTCTAAAACTAATTTGAAAGTAGGATTGTTACTTCCGCTTCGGTCCAGATTCCGTATATGATCTAGTGCCGAACATGATGAGTGCCTCTGTGCTGTCCTGTAGGTCAGCCCTTTCTAGCCATTGGTAGGACTTCTTGAGATCTGCCACTTCTGCAATGTTCCGGTGGTACATGCCGTGTAGGGGCTTGTCCTCCCGTCCACATACCCTAATGTAACCTAGCACATTATGGAAGAGTAATTGCAGTATTGCACATGATTGCAGTTTTTCACTATTTACAGTTGAGATGACATGTAGAGGCTCTGCAATTCTCATTGTGCAGTCTGTCAGCAGCAGGAAGCAAAAGACTTGCAGATCCTCTCCTTCATACAGTGATGGTGGATCAGTATGTCACTGAAGCTGCTCTCCAGGGTAGACTGAGCAACTTACAGAGTTGAAAGTCACGGTCACGGTATAGTATAAAACTCTATACTATACAATGTGATTTCTGTCTGATGCATTTATAGTATTCTAATTAGATTGAAAAGGTTAAATCTAGGACATTGTTTTTTGTGTGTATTTTTGTTGTTGTTTGTTTTATTGTGAAAGTCTCCAGCGGATGTTGTCGCTGCTTCTCGCCCGCTTCACGCTCGTTCCCAGGGTTCCGTGAGAGCGGTTTGCCCCACCCCATCTCCACAGCGCTATCTGTCTCAAATGTACAATCCTCTGAGAAAAAGGAGGCCAAATAAATTCAGGCTAACGCTGCGAACAAGCGCCTGATTCTCCGGAGCCGACGCCGCCGCTGGAGCTGCCACGGCCGGGCTTCGTGGCCGTAAACCGCGCGGTATGTTCCCGTGCACATGTAACCACAGTCTGCCATACGGAGTCAAAGGGAACACAAAAACCTGTGAGACTTGACAGTGAGCCGTGCATGCGCCAAACAACGCCTTCACACAGATTCCACCTGGATATTGCGTTTTATTCAAGGACAAATTGTGTCGGGGAAAAAAACCTGCGAAGAGACGACTCTCCGAAATACAATTTATAACGCCACACAGACAAGAGGGGACGGACAAGGGGCCTTTTTTGGGGTCTGGTGAAATCCTACGCAAAAAGCGGCACCAGCATCTTGAAGAAAACCGTATTGACACAAAAAAGATACTATTTCAAACGTGGATCAGTCACGACGACAGCCCGTGTGTAATGTGACCGATTGGAAGGCAGCAGTTCTGGAGAAAGCCTGATGATTCACACGACATCATTTCAACAGGAATATTTATTTTGCATTTCTTTCCCACCCTCCCCCTGATGTGATTCGAGAGGAAATTGCGAACAATCCTTTCTTTTTTGAGACCAAAACCCCATTTTCCCCCCCCACAAACAAAAGGGACACGCTTCACATAAACACGGCTTTTTAGTGGTGTGTGGACATGAATTGAATGGCAGTAGGAGGTATCTGCCAAAGATGGGCTCAAGTGGAGACTAAGCAAATCCTATAGAGGAAAAAGGCCAGAATATATGTATGTGAAAGCTGCCAGCGATTGCCTTCGTACTAGCTTGTAATAAACAGGATCGACTGGATTGGCCTGGTCCTGAGACGCTTTCACATCCTCTCATAACACTAGATGACTTCATTGCGGAATTACAGTTAAAAACACAGGATCCAGGACAGCATCGTTCTCTTGCTTTTGACTGCTGAGAAATTGACAGTAAAACGCTTATCCAACATCCATTCAGTGCCAAGCCCAGTGGAGCTCACATTTTTGCCTTATTTCTCTGTCATTTTTTCCTCATCGCTTATCTTCCTACATAAATGTCACACTGTTTGGGTCACGTGTTCCTTTATTGGCCTACCATAAAGGCTTTTCGGATTCATTGATAGTTTTTTTCTATTATTATTATTATTAGTGTTGTTATTTTTATATATTTTGTACCGCCCTTCTTCCAAGCTACTCACTCAAGCAAGCACCCTGCCTCCCTCCAACCTGCCCAAATTGTGGGTTTTTGGGAAGATGGGCTGCCTGAGCAATAGTAAGACTGAAGACCAGCGGAATGAGGAGAAGGCGCAGCGGGAGGCCAACAAAAAGATAGAGAAACAGCTTCAAAAGGACAAGCAGATATACCGGGCAACTCACCGGCTACTTCTATTAGGTGGGTGTTGGCACGTTTCCACATTTACTTTTTTCCATTTCTACCCCATGTATTTCCATTAGACTGAAACACTGATAATATTTCCAATGCAGGCTATTCATGTCATGCTGTTTTTCTGTCATTTTGAGCCTGGTGTTGATGTTTTATAAGCCTTGACACTATTTTTCATCTTATGCACTTTCTCTCTCTCACTACTCACTACTCGCACTTCCACCACTGCCATTGTCAAATATATAATTATATTCTAATAATTTCCTCAATATAAAGTATGTATAGCTTACCTTTCGGTGTTGATTCAAATCAACGTTTTATCCAAAGTGGAGCCCTGCTCACAAATATAGCGTGGGCACTTGTATGGTGTCAAATTTAGCCTGTATTTTATTGTACAAATGGTATAACATATTGTGGTACTGCCCAGAGAAACACAAGGGACATTCTTGAATCTTTACAAGCACAAAAAAGCCATTTAGTCAGAAAAAAAACAAGTGGGACTAGGATGTTCTATAAATGTCTATAGATGTCTATAAAAAGACTTTTTTGTCTTTTTATATATAGTCAAAACCTGAGTGACTGAAGGACTGAGCTGACATTATGTAGACCGGCTATCAGCCATATTACTCCTCTATAAGCCTGAGATTAAACGAGTGAAAATGGCCTTATTTCCTGATTTAGTTAGAATAACTTACATCCTAATTTATTTATAATTACCGCAGACATTTTTTTTAATTTATTTTGTATTTTCTTAAAAAGGTAGTTTCAAAGACAAGTCTCCCCAAACTCAAATGAACAACATGAGATTTTGATATGCTAAATCTATTTGTGGATTTGTCTTTGAGGCCTTCGTGTTGTGGCCATAGTATCGCAACTAAGCCTCTTGAACAGCAAATTAGGATTACTATTAGGATTATAGCTTCCTCTTGAACGACTTCCCTGTTTTAATCCGTAATTGATAGGAGATTTGTACACAGTTACACTTAGCCCGTGGAATAGCCTCTGTTTAGCATAGCTGCTAAGCCCGGCTGCTCCCTCTGTGCAGAGGGTGGTTTCCATTCAATTTGCTCTTTACAAAATTGGCATGTTATTTTATATAAATGACATGCTAATATTAAAATGCATAAAACACCTGCAACAATTTGATTGAGTATAAACTAAAAACTAAACTTTTTATTTATTTAAATTCCAGTGTTTAAAAAAGTATATTGTACAAGATAATCCGTAATTTTCTCCAGGTTGTTGTGTGACTGTGATTGTCCCTAAATTCTTCTTGTTATTCTCCTTTCTTCTCGCAGGTGCTGGTGAATCTGGAAAAAGCACCATCGTCAAACAAATGCGAATACTTCATGTCAATGGGTTCAATGCAGAGTAAGTTATATGACTTAGTCATTTTAACACTTTAGAACAAAACTCAATGTTTGCACCTTCAGTGGCTCTGCTGCAGCTGAGTGGTTAGCAGGCGGAGGATACCTGTGTGTGTCTCGGGGATTTCCTCCAGGTGCTCCGGTTGGGGTGGGTCCCTGATCTTGACTGGCTTCATTTGCATGGTGTTCTCAGGGGACTACAAAGTATACCCTAACTGTATCATACAGTATTCTTACAGTCTCTGGATAATCCAGATGATATTAAGGACAAAGGTGATATACATAGGCCTATTTATAACACATTTCTGAGCTTTAAGGCACTTCTGAGCTTGACCAAAAGTCTTGAAGATAAAGCTTTAGTTCAGACTGGAGTTATGAAAGATTGTAAATACTGATACATAATCTACCATTCTGGTAGACTGGTTTTAGAATTGTAAAAACAAGACAAACACTAAATGCATAATTCTTGAATTACTTTGATTTATTGCGGAAAGGTTCAGATTGTAATCATTAGTTGTAGTCAGTGTAATCGTCATTACTGACTTTCGTCGTGAGGAGAAGTCAAACAGTTGGTGTTTTGGAGTAAACGGTTTTGACTGAAGAAGTGTTTCAGGTTTTATAGAATCATGGCCTCGGGTGTCGTGAGCCACTTGATCTTGTGAATTTCCTCAAACTTTATTCCATGATTACATAACGCAAACAAAGTTTCACTTGTATCTTCTCTCAATCAGTCTTTTCCTAGAATGAACTTCTCGTCATGTGCTTTAGGATCGCAGCAATTGGTCAACAAATGCTGACTAACCGTCGACTGATTGAATTACTTGTAATACAATTTTGATAATCATAATTGTTAACACGACACAGGACTCTAAAATGACGTAATTCTTTTCCAACAGAATTTTCTTCATAATGTCTAAAATAAAATCAGATTTTATCTTTATAATACATTTTTTTAATACGAATAATGTTGTATTTATTCAATTTCAATCTTTTTATTTTTAAACACATTTTAAAGACAAATTCCGTTATTATTTGACTCAGTCGGCTTTTGATTTGCTGAGTTATGACCATGAAGCGTCATTGAATTATCTAATAAGTGATTGAGCATTGGCTCTGCCGATACAAAACAATTCAAAATAATCCCTATACTAGACTTTTTTTTAATGTGAAAAAAACGAATAAATTAGCTCTGGTGAGTGTCTGGTGTCTCACTTGTCCCGCACGTACACCACACTTCTCACTGCTTACTTTTTTATAACATTTTGAAATGATACAGTTACAGGAATCGTGGGGTTATATATTACTGACTCAATATTTTCTAACACCCCTAACACCAGTAAGTGTTCCTTCTGTATAGTCAGGTTTGTTGATTCATCATGTTATTATTTCTTAAGAACTTCTATTGAAACTTCTTTTGAAATGTCAATAGAAGTGTTTCAACTGTTTTTGTGACACATCCAACTTAAAAAAGATAGCGTTTTTGCAAAGTTTGAAAGATAGCAGCCAAGTCCCGGCAGCAGCCAAGTCCCGGCACAGAGAACGACTACAGGAGCAGTTTGGTAACAACGATACTGCTTCTGTCTGGAGGGGCCTACGGGAGATCACCAACTACAAACCCAAAGCCCCCCCCTGTGCTGATGACCACAAGCTAGCTGACGATCTGAACTTATTTTTCAGTCGCTTTGATGCTGCCCCTGACACCTCTCCTCCCCCACCCCCCACTACTCTAACGACCCACCCATCAGCCCTGCCCCTAGCCTAACAATAGCCGCTAAAGAGATTAAACAACTCTTCCTGAGGCTGCACCCCCGCAAAGCTCCTGGCCCGGACCACGTGTCTCCGGCCACTCTGAGACACTGCGCCAGTGAGCTTACTCCTGTGTTCACGGACATTTTCAACTCCTCTCTGCAGTCCTGCCATGTCCCGGCCTGCTTCAAATCCTCCATCATTGTCCCCGTCCCGAAGAAGCCCAGGATCACAGGACTCAATGACTACAGACCTGTAGCACTTACGTCTGTCGTCATGAAGTCATTTGAACGCCTGGTTCTCTCCCATCTCAAGTCCCTCACCTCCCCCCTCCTGGACCCCCTGCAGTTCGCCTACAGAGCCAACAGATCTGTAGACGACGCCATTAACCTGGCCCTCCACCACATCCTACAGCACCTGGACTCCCCGGGGACCTACGCCAGGGTCCTGTTCGTGGACTTCAGCTCTGCCTTCAACACAATCCTGCCATCCCTGCTCCAGGACAAGCTCTCCCAGCTCAACGTGCCCGATTCCACCTGCAGGTGGATCACTGACTTCCTGACGGACAGGAAGCAGCGAGTGCGTCTGGGGAAGAATGTCTCGGACTCTCGGATTATAAATACAGGAGCCCCACAGGGCTGTGTTCTTTCTCCCCTGCTCTTCTCCCTGTACACCAACCACTGCACCTCCAGCCACGACTCCGTGAAGCTGATCAAGTTCGCGGACGACACCACCCTCATTGGACTCATCTCCAACAACGATGAGTCCGCCTACAGGAGGGAGGTGGACCGGCTGGTGTCCTGGTGCAGTGGTAACAACCTGGAGCTGAACGCCCAGAAGACAGTGGAGATGATTGTGGACTTCAGGAAGAGCACTGTCCCCCCGCCCCCACCCTCCGTGATGGACTCCCCCATCACCTCTGTGGAGTCCTTCCGTTTCCTGGGCACCACCATCACCCAGGACCTCAAGTGGGAGCCGACCATCAGCTCTCTCATCAAGAAGGCCCAGCAGAGGATGTACTTCCTGCGGCAGCTCAGGAAAGCCAAGCTGCCTGCACAGATGTTGGTGCAGTTCTACACGGCCATCATCGAGTCCATCCTCACCTCCTCCATCACCGTGTGGTTCGCTGGAGCCACAGTCAGGGACAAACAGAGACTACAGCGCATTGTGCGCTCTGCAGAGGAAGTGATCGGCCGCAGCCTTCCATCGCTGCAGGACCTGTACGTCGCCCGAGCTCGAGGCCGGGCTGGTCGTATCACAGCCGACCCCTCTCACCCTGCACATGGACTATTCCAACCACTCCCCTCAGGCAGGAGGCTGCGGTCCATCAGGACTAGAACCTCCCGCCACAAGAACAGTTTCTTCCCCTCTGCTGTTGGACTCTTGAACACTTCTTAACCTGTCCCCCCGCCCTTTATAAAGTCACTTTACTGCCCATCATACGTCACTTTACTTCACTGTACTGCTGTCACCTTACATTGTGTGCACCATGTGCACTTGTATATTGTAAATAGTAACTGTAACTCTATTTTAAATTTAAATTTATTCTTTAGAAGTGTTTTTTATTCTTATTTTTATTATCTCTTTTTGACTGTTGCACTGAGCCAAAGCAATTTCCAAGTCTGTGACCTCCCGTTACTTACGTTGGCAATAAAAATGATTCTGATTCTGATTCTGATTCTGATTCTGATATGTGCCACTTAAATGATTTATTTCTCAAAAACCTGATCACATTCACTGTTATCAGCCATTGCTTAAACTGCTGCTGTGTGATTTTGAAATGGCTGCAGACTGACGATACAGCAAGTGTGACTGGGTTTTGCAATAGGCTTTTGATGCACGACTACACCAGTTCTACACAAATGACAAATTCTCTCGCATCACTTTGGGTCACTAGAAAGAAGAATATTTATTAAGTTAATGTAAATACTATTTATTTTGTAGCTTGCAGTCAGCAGAGCGTTTTCAGATTCAGAAATGTTTAAAAAGAACTGTTAAAACCATCTGGTATCTGTGTTACATAAATATTAATATTGTTATCTGTCCCCTGCTCTTTCTAGGGAGAAAAAGCAGAAAATACATGATATTAAAAACAACATTAAAGAAGCTATAGAGGTAAGAACACAGTCTGCATAAGTTACAGTCTGATAGATTTGTTTCTTTTTTTTTTCTACATGTCATAACTGAGAGTTTTGCTCGTTTCTCAGACTATTGTGGCTGCCATGAGCACGCTGACGCCGCCCTGCAAGATAGCCTGTCCTGCAAACCAGTCCCGAATCGAGTATGTCATGAACTTAGTAAATCAGAAAGACTTCGAGTTTCCTTCGGTAAGTACACAGGGATCTTTCTTAACAAGGCATGGTTTTTTTATTCTGTCGCAATGAATAGTTTTTTTGTCCATTCATCGTCCACTGTCCGACCAACTTCAGCTACGCTATATCATTGTTTGTCTTTACTGATCAGGATTTTTCGGGACTAGACTGACAGAGTGCGGATGTTGCCCATAGTGTTTGCCGAATGCGAAAGAAGCCGATTTGAACATAAGCCGACTTGAGTGAATGTCCTTTTACGGGTATTTGTTCCGACAGGTTTCACTTCATGACATACTTGGGGCACACGTGTTGCTAAGGCAAGCTGTAGTTTCCCTTGCAAATGAAGGCCTCTGATTGATAAATTCTAATGGCTCGTATCCGGATCTCCAAAGGCAATTTTAAAATCTAAACACCAGAATTATATAGGGCACCAAACCCCAGATTATAAAAAGCCCATAAGGGTGAGTGTGACGCAAAGACTTACTGAGCTAAGTCAGTAGGAGCCAGAGCGAGTTGGAGCAAGACTTCGTCCATGAGCACTTCTCTATTGGGCTTTGTGGGGCCAGGGGGTTAGCAATGTCTACCTATATACAGTCTATGGTTATTAGTGATATAATGTAGCTATAGAGCAAGTAAACTAAATTTGTCTTTCAGGCAACGTCAGCTCCCTCAGGTATGAATCATTATAGAAATATTTTATATTCATTTTAAAGCTCAGAGCTCTGGGTAACTGAAGTGGCTGTCTTACTAAAAAGTTTGGATACCTCTGCAATGTACAAACACAAGGATTGAATATTTTTTTATATGTTCCACTTCACAAGCGCGTACCTGCAGATCAGCCGTTATTATTATAATTAGACTATAATGCGTTTTCACATGAATGCATGACTTGGCTTCTCCTGTTGAATGTTGTCGTTTTAGCATTAGCATTAGCAGTTGTAATGAATCCCTCTGTGGTTGTTTGGGTTGTGGCCTGGTGCCTCAGGTGAGCGTCCACTGGGGACCGTGTCAATTGAATAAAGTCTCACATGAGAGATCTACAATGATTAGCTCATTGTCGCTAATGACCTTAAATGTCTCCAGTGGAATCGACTGTGCCACAAACAATAATAACAATGAAAGAACCATACATTGCTTTTATATTGGGTTCATGCAGCTAATGCTCAAATCAATACTACTCTGTTGGATTAAAAAAAGAATTGTGGAATAGTAAAATGTCTAACTATTTCTACATTAGTAAATAGACTATACCCAATACCAGTTTTGTATAGTCTTTATTATGACGTCATAAGTCTGTTTATTGGCTGTCCAGAATGTCCAGATTGTCATATACAGTGGGTAAATCAAGGTCAGGATAATGTGCAAGTGTCTTCTGGCCTCTAGTTTAGCAGCGACTGTATACAACAGGGCAGTCCACAAAGAACAGATGGTTTTCAAAAAGGCACAACAGAGATTATATTTGACATGTCGGAGTATGTTTAATACTTTTATTATTGTTTGGGAAATCAAAAATGTAATTGAAATCAAATATTGATCTTTTTCTATAAACCTTCCTTATCAGCCCTAGTTTGTTTATTTACCTTTATCTAACCAGGAAAGTCTCACTGTGATTTCATTATCTCCTTTTTATTTTTTATTTTTTTAGGGGACTCCCACCCCCAGGGAGAGAGGGGGCGGGAGTGGGGTTGGGGAGGGTGTTATGGGGAACTATTGTACCTGTTTTTTAGTGGTAGAGGAAACTTGCGCAGACACGGGGAGAACATGCAAACTCCACACAGAAGGGCCACCCAGGACCTGGGAAGCTCTTTTTAATGAAGTGAACATAAATATATACATATTTTTCTTGTTTTGTGGTATGTTACCATTTATGTAAAGGACTGTTAGACATAATTTTGACTCAAATGTATTAGGAAAACCTTTTGGGAAGTGCTTCTTGGGCTATTATTCTGCCGGATTAAAATCTCAGAAGATGGCAGAAAGATGTCTTCATGTCTTGGTCTTCTAATTTGATATTTTTTAACATGTTACTTCAAAACAAGCCATTACAATGTACCCAAGAACACAACGAAATACAAACACGATATGCACTCCCCTCTTTTAATTGATATGAGCGTCATGTGACAGAAAGGTTACATGTTTGTGGACAAAACAAAGTGTGGTCCTGCAGTGTTTTTCCAACTTTAGTCCAGACGCTCTCTTGTGTATTTGTATGTAAGCACAAGACAGGCTCCTGGTGTTGTGTCTGCTGCGTCACGTCAACTTACAAATGCGGGACAATTTCATAAGTCCATAGTCCAGATCCTTGTGCCATATGTGTCCCCAATAGTAATGACCATTAAATATAGAAAAAATCTCTTTTAACCATTGAATCTCCGTTCAGGTTGAGATTCAAGTGACAGTAAGTAAATTGTCAAATCTACATTCACCATCTTTAGTTTTAGGTGAGATAGAAAGATAATACTTTATTGATCCCTAGATTGCTCAATGCTATGCTTTCTATTTCAGAGCAGGGCAAGGCAAGTTTATTTATATAGTTCATGAGGCAACACAAGTGCTTAACAAAGAAAAGAAACATTAAAAGCACACAGGGAAAATCATAGATAATCACAGTGCATTAAAATAAGTGAATAAATATAGGCCTCGAATCTGTGATTGAATTATTTGCTTAGGTTTTTTTTCCTACACATTTGTCTCTAACCCTATTTTTGATGTATACTGGGGCCTCTAACGCTATTTAGATGTAGTTCAGAAAATTAGAACTACATCTAATTTCATGATTCATAATCATCAAAATGATAACAAATAAAGGCATACATTGCTTTGTATGAGATGAGTCCATATCATACATTTCACATTTTAAGTTCAATAACATTTTTAAACTTTTGAACAATATTCGAACTTTCTGAGTTTCTCCTGTATCTTTATCGATTCGTTTACAATATGTCGGTCAGCCCTCAACCAGACAACCACTTTTGAAACGTACTTCTTGATAAGATGGTTATAATTATTACAGTGTCAACCCTGAATAATTGTACAACCCTTTGAAATTGGCTTTAGTTGGTTAAAACGGCCACATAATTAAACGTACAGGTTGCAGAAGGCCATGGGTTATTTATTCCAAAATGTTAGTGTTTTGTTTTAGAACCTTAATATTAGTCCAGTTTCACACATCATTATATATTATTAACTTTATTATGGTATGCAATTCTTCATTTGCTCATATTTCTTGGCATAATGAGGGCCAGAAATAAACTACGACGGCCGCATTGCACTCAGGGTACTTTGGACACACCTGCCCTAAATGGATTTGGATGAATAAGGAAGGGTGTAGTGGGAGAAATTTAACATTTTGGACAGATTATTTCCACTTAGATTCAGTTTGACTGTCTAATAGGACTGAACTAACGTCACCCTTGCTCTGACTGGTTCTAGGGGTGACAATGAGGTGCCAATATTCCTATAACAACAGGTGCTTTAGCTTTTTTGTTGCAGCCAAAGAACCAATCAGGAGTGAGGCTGCTGATTTAAAAAAAAAAAAAAAAAAAAATACTGTAAAAAGCATCAGCTGTAACAAATATAAAAGAAAGGAATGGTTATATTTAAGTGTGCGTAATTTACACTATCAAAGCTGTTCAGTGATGTTTTCCATTTATTGTTTTACCGGGTTACATGGTCTTGTGCAAGTTTGTGGCAGTTTCTTTATGAACTCTGAACTGTGATTACTGTCACACATCTCCTGCTCCGATCGTCTGTCCTTCAGCCCTTTCACAGTACAATGAACTGTCCCCTTATTTAAAAACATTATTCAAATAAAATAATTCAATCAAGGATGAAGTAGAGTCTGGTTAATTCATGAAATAAATAAAGAATTTGTGAGAAATTATTTTAAAACTTTCTTGACATGCCCATGTTTCTTCTTTCCAGGAATTTTATGACCATGCAAAGTTCCTGTGGCAAGACGAGGGTGTGCGAGCCTGCTGGGAACGGTCCAATGAATATCAACTCATCGACTGTGCGCAGTAGTAAGTGTCATTTGTCTCACAAGTTCCACGCATTTACTGCTTAAGACTCTGCTATGTGAGCTTCCCTCCAACCAGTGCTTCATGGGAGGTGTAAAAGTTCACATGGTAATGATGAGTACACCTTCCATGAGTCTGTTCAAGCCCGTTGGACAAAAGACGCAGAAAGCAATAATTTGCACGGGTCTGAATTTTGTGTCTGTGGAAGTAAGACATTTGTTTGTTCTAATAATGTCCGGCAGGGAGATGTCGTTCTTTACATTTGATCAATTTCATGATTATTTTAATAATTTTGACTCATTTGTGGACAGACTGTGACCTCTCTCAACACACACCAATAACTTTCTTTCACATCACTGAAAAAAGTAATATTGCATTGGATTGCACCAATGGCATGTTAAAGTTCTTACTGTATATTAGTTAATCCTGTGTCTACCCATATAATACTGCTGGAACGTGAAGCAGCATTGACCCTCTATGAAGCGATATCGGTGTATCTCTCCTCGTTAATCTGTTCATGTGTGTTTCTAAAACAAACCAACAATATCAACAGGAAGATTTGGCCTAATTGATTATAATTCTTCTCCCCTCACCTGCCGTTGTTCAGATTCACCTGTAGTTTCTGCTGAATGCTGCCGGACAGTAGTATTAAAAATAGAGTGTAGCAGTTATTCAATGTCAGAATACAAGAGGGCTGGTTGATCCAAATGCAATCATTGTTGTTATTGAAAAAGACAATTTAGTATCTGAAAAGACTCAATGATGAAAGAAGAATGTTTATTGAGTTGTGTTTGCATGAAGTATATTGGTTACTACAATACATTCAGCCGACATATGGGCACAATATTTATATATATATATATATATTATAGAATTTATATATATATATATATTATAGGATTTATATTATTTGAAACATGAAATGTTGTGGTGGTGGACGCTGAGCCAATGACACTGTTGCAGTGGGGATGAGGAGGTGGGTTGCTGCACAAAGCTGCTTGATTTAGAGACTGAGACGCTGTTTAAATGAAGCCAGAGAAGGTGCTGCTGATGAGCACAGGCACATGTGTGTAGTAGAGGAATGGTTGGCAGTGTGGCAGTGGGATAGAGAAATCTAGAATTACAGTCTGAATATTTCACTTTTAGTTCCATCTGACAGTTGGTGGTTGACCTCTCAATGACGATCAGAGTTTTCTCTTTGTTGGCACTGCCCTTATAACAATTTTAGTCCAAAACGGCTGTGATTATTGAAATTGGCTTGGACTGTCAATATTTTGTCCTTTCTCGACTGTTTTATTCAGGAACATGGCCCCAATAACCAGACCGTCCTGGGCAAACAAAGCACCTGCACATCGTTCTTATTCAGTTCTAATGTTAGAAAAGGGAATTGGTGGCAAGGAGAAAGAGATCGAAATAGCAAATCGTAGGGCTTCCCTGCATTGCGGGATCTCTCCTCCCTCCTCTCTCCCACATCCAGCAGCCCCAGTGGTACGGATCAGATGCTGTGCTGGGTGGCCGGACCGGAAGTGCTCCCCTCCCCCCGGCCGTGCAGCTTATGTAAACGGAGAAGGAGAGAAAAAGAGAGGGTAGTGCTATTTTTAACTAGGGCAGCTACAGAACGAACAAGTAGAAGCGAGTATGTTAGCACAAGTTGAGAATTATTGATGGAGCTTGTTATAATTAAAGCACAAGCCCACAAATGGTTCCTTATTGCAGCATTTTTGGTTATGGAATACGTTGTAACAGTTGTCATGGCTGAAGCTTTCCTTAGTCCTCATTTTTGCTTGGTCATAGTCATCTGAAGCTTGTTTCTGTCCAGCTTTGATTTTCTGGTGTTTTAAAGACCACTTCCCTGAGCTGTAATGTCACATGCTTAGTGCAAAGATGACACTGTTGTCCTTGATTGCACAATGGCGTCTTGTGTTGGTACTGCAGACAACCACTCATAGATATGTTGTTTGAACTTTGTCAGCTCTATAAGGATAAATACACATATGAATTACAATATTACAGAATACATTTTGTGCCACCAAAAAACATTAAAAAATATATGATAACCAAATATTTCTTTCTTCCTAATATTATCAAACTTGGTATAAATGCTCAATACACCCATTTCTATGAGACATTGTTTGCAAGTCTGTCTAAATCTGTTTCAGTCAGAATTAATTCATTAATTCAGGGAGATTCAAGATAATCAATCTCCTTTACAGATGTGTCTCCGGCTAGCCACTCTAAACGCCACTCTAAGTAATGCTCAGTTTTTGTATTTTTGAAAGGGTTTGGAAAGGGGTCATAACTCGTCAGTATTTGGTGTAATCCCCATTTTCCTCACGCTGTGCAACACACCTCCTTCTGAGTTGATCAGGTTGTCGATTGTGGCCTTTTGAATGTTAGGCCCTGTTTACACAGAGACAAAGCCAAGCAATTCACAAAAACGACCCCACTGCAAAGCACGGCGGGTGAAACAATGTAGTTCTAGCGCCTGGCCAGTAGTGGGCTGTGGAACTTTACGTGACACGCTTGACCCCCACCACTATAACCGCTTCCTCAACAACATCCCCATCAGGCCGACGCAAAGCTGGGAAAGAATGCACCAACAGCATTCTGCATTTAACAGGAGCAGCGAAAATGGAAACTGAAACTACAGCTTTGAGTGGTTTTGTTTGGACAAAGGAGTAGAATTGCTCCTCCGTGTAACGCTAGAAGCACACAAAGCATTAGTTGATCTGCCGCCATTGTTGTTTACGTTTGTTCTCTGCTACTGCGCATGTCCAATAGTATGGGGGGGGCAGTGGTGACGTCATTGCAGCCAGAGATTTTGCACATTTTTCTTCACACAGCATGCAGCGCCATTCTGGTTTTACGCTAGTCAACTCTATCGTCTTACTGTCACAGCGTCTCTGTAAACAGGGCCCTGGGTCTACCCCTCTTCAATGCTGTGCAAAGTTGCTAGACATTGACAGGAACAGGAACATGCTGTCATATACGGCGATCCGGAGCATCCCAAACATGCTCAATGGGTGACAAGTCCGGTGAGTTTGCTGGCCACGCAAAGACTACTTACCATCTTGATATACCATACCTGTGACGTAGGATGGATTTGATTTAAGTGCTCCCTTCGCCCCATTTTGGAGGTTACTTGAAAAGGTCCAAAAAAAGTAATATCAATAAAGTAAAATCTTATGGGTCAATGAAACAACCCTATTTGTCATGTTTTGTCATCCTATTGCATTTAGGCCAGACTTGTGAAACTACAACAAACGTGACTCAGAGCGCAAATTAGATGTTACCTTTCTTTGAGATGTACCAGCCTTTCTGGTTCATCTTGTTTTAGTTTTTTTTGTATTAATTGTGCTTACAGTAAAATTCAAAGCCGTGTGACAAAGACAAGTTGAAATTCAAGTGAAACTAAAATGATGAAAAACTCAAACTTCTTTTGGGGCCCCAGACCTAACCAAACCTAAATTTAATCCATTCCAACACATTTTTTTGCTTCAAACCAATCTGTCGTATGACAATCTATGTCTACATTATTTCACATACAAGGTATTCACCACAGTGAGTTTATAAACTTGACATTCCCGCTCTGAATACAGTCACTTTACTGCAGCCGCTGCATGATCTGTGATCTGATTTTATGAGCAAATTTGAGAAATGACTTGAAAACAGGAGTCACTAAAGCACCTAAACAGCGGAATAATGAAACTGCTAGTGTTTGATTTACCTCTGTGACGTGCTGACGGAGCCTTGTTGTGGAATCAAAACTTAATGCAAATTGTCAGTAGCACAGGCTACATGCATGACTTTGTGTGTTTCTACAGGCCTCTCTTCTTTTTATCTCAAACTCAAAAATCACTGGTGATAATCTAATTCAACTGAAAATGAATTCACCTAACGTATCACAGGATTGGTACTGATTAGTGTCAGAAATTACAAATGTATGTGTCAAATCAGAATTAGTACAAGCTTTTTGATGATTCATCTTGTCTTCTTTTTAGAATAAAGTTATTTGGATCTTCTATACCAGACAATTGTAAGATAGCGATAGGATTGGTACGTCCCTGATTAGAAAGACTGAAGTGTTACACCCGCCAAACAATCTTTTAAATCAAACTTTTGTTCGAGGGAACCAAACAATGGTCCGTTTAAGCAGAAAAGCTGCTTTTATATGAATGCAGTTTGTACTTCACGTTTGACTTCCACATAAACTACGAATAATATGTGGTTTATAATCAATTATTATGATTTAGTCACTTTAAATATTCAAAGTAATTGGCTGTTTAGGATAGGATCTGCTTATCAAAAATATGTTTATCTTAATTTCATTATTAGTAGTTGTTCTAATGATGAACTAGAATTTCCATGTGTAATTGTAAAGAGCTTAAAGCCTCTGACGGACGCCTGGGGGAACGATGAAGAGCACTGAGCATCATGAGACATTGTCGACCCGTTGCAGATGATTCTGGATTTGTAGACGGAAAAGCAAAAGCCTGTTCACATGTTGTGTGCACATAACATGGCTTCCTTTCTTTTTGAATTGCATGTGACTTGGGCCAGCCCCTGAGGAAAGACTTTTGAAGCAAATCTTTATCATTATCTATATTAGGCACCAACCAATTTGGATTTTTCTGGAACCGATGCAGCATTTTTGGGATTCTCCTCTGCCCATTAAGAATTTAGCAATGTCTCCTATTTGTTTGTTTTATCACTGAATTTTCTGTGTTCTAAATGTTTGACTCTTAAATCTGTTGTTGGTGTGAGCTGGTTGGTGAGGTTTGGTCAGCAAAATATTGGAATTTTTGGCCGATCAGTGATGTCTTAGAGTGCCAAAAATTGCAATCTCACCACTCAATTGTTGACGTGTCTTTTAAAATTGAGAGTCATGCAAGGTTTCCACAATGATTTCATCAATGTTTGGATTAAATAATCATCATTTAATTTATTATGGTCAGTGTTCTCCCCTCCAATTGCACAAGTTTAGGTATCTCACATTTGAATCA